CAGGCCCCCCAAGCCCTCCCAGCCCAAAGCCCACCTCCCCAAGCTCCCAGCCTCCCTGCTCCAGAGTCCACTCCCGCAAGCCTCCACTTCCCAGGCCTATCTCCCCAGGCCCCCCAAGCCCTTCCAGCCCAAAGCCCACCTCCCCAAGCTCCCAGCCTCCCTGTCCCAGAGTCCACTCCCGCAAGCCTCCACTTCCCAGGCCTATCTCCCCAGGGCCCCCAGGCTCACCTCCAGTGAGTAAGAGAGGCTCTGGGGGCGGGCCTGACCCTGCTGTCCCTTGGCTACGGAGCGCAGCCAGCGCACTGTCCCGAAGTCGGCCTAGGAGTCTGCTCACAGCTGCCTGCAGCAGCTGCCGGAAGGACGCTGAAGAGCCACTGAGGTTCAGCCATAGGAAGTCCTGGAAGATGGCCAGCTCCTTCGGGCCAGGGGCCTGGGCAGAGCCAGGCCCCCCACACAAGAGGCTTGCCCCCGCCAGGCGCACAGCCTCATCCTCACATGCCAGGCACGCGGCAAGGCGGGCTGGGTTCTGGCTGGCTGCCGGGGGGCCCTGGCCCAGCTCCTTTCGAGTCTTCTGCAGGGCTGCCCACCCCCGCAGGCAGGCCAGCCCTGGGCCTGCAAAAGCCTTCTCCAGGAGCCCGGCAGAGGCTGGGAAGAGCCGGAGGGTGTGAGGGAGCAGGGAGCTGGCTGCCCGGGCCTGTAGGGCCACCACTGGGGACTGCAGGGCCTCAGCCACAGAGGGCAGCCAGTGCTGGGCCCACTGCTCAGCCAGCGCCCCCTCACTGGCCCCAGCCTCTGCAATGGCCCACTCTCTCCGCTGGGCCTGGAGGAAGCAGCGGTATGTGTCTGTGGCTGCGGGGCTCAGGGGATTGGTGGAGAGGCAAAGCAAGAGGTGCTTCGGGAGCTCCGGGAGCACAGCCAGGACCTAAAGGAACAGTGCCCACATTGGCCCACAGTGCCCGGCTTCCCAGGCCCACCAAGATAACCCCAGGAAAAGAGGACTGTGGCCTCTGCCCGCTCTAGCCAGGGCCCTGCTGGCTACAGGGTATGGGTGCTATGGTCCAAGGAGTGCCTCAGGCTGGGAGAGCTCCCACTCACACCCTCCCTGAAGCCCAAAGACCTCCCCTGGATCACAGTCACCTTGCGCCTGTCTACCAATCACCAGCATGAAGCTCCACTGGCCTCTCCCTTCGATGGAGCCCAGGAAGGCTACAGGGGCCCTCAGTTCTGGCCCTGCTCACCCCTGGCCATGGTGCTGAAATGCTGCACACCCAGGCTGGGGCTCCCCCACCCTGGCCTTCCACGCCTAGTGCCACCTCTAAGCAGCTGAGGGCTCCCTCCCTGCAGTCAGCCTCCCTGGGGCTCCTCCCCAGCCTTCCCCTTCTTTCCTCCCCACTATTCTGACCGGCCCAAAGGAGGGAGCACTCACTCTTTCAGAGCCCAGAAAGGGCAGCAGGGCACAGAGGGCTGGGTAACGGGCCTTGGTCGGCCAGGGCAGAGCCCAGACCCTCTCCAGGAACTCATCATAGAGGGGTCGCACTGCCTCATCCCCGAGGTGTTCACACTCCTTCCCATAGAGCTCCAGAAAGAGGCTGAAGGAACGCAGGGTGGCCTCAGACAGGCCTTCCAGCTGTGGGGGAAGGCACAGACTCCATGTGCCAGGGAGAAGGCCACCTACAACCTCATCCTCCCTCCTGGGCGCCAGGGAGACGGCCGCCTTCTTCCTCATCCTCCCTCCTGGGCGCCAGGGAGACGGCCGCCTACTTCCTCATCCTCCCTCCTGGGCGCCAGGGAGACGGCCGCCTACTTCCTCATCCTCCCCACTGGGCGCCAGGGAGACGGCCGCCTACTTCCTCATCCTCCCCACTGGGCGCCAGGGAGACGGCCGCCTACTTCCTCAGCCACCCCACAGGGCTGTGCCCTGTTCCCCCGCCAGGCTTTGGCATTTCTCCAGTCCCTAACTCCCTGGACCCAACCGTGGTGTCCACCCTCCCAGGGCGGAGATGGCTTATGTGTGACTTTGGGGATCCCCTCTCCAATCTGGGCCTCAGCTGTCTCGTCTGTAAAATGATGAGGTTGCATTCCTTCTAGAGTTTTATCTCATCAACCCACAAGGGGCTTTCGAGGCACCTGTCATCACCTCAGCCCCTCCTCATTATACAGACACAGGACCTGCACCCTACGCCCAGACAGGGGAGGGGCCTCCGTGAGCTCCCAGTGCTGAGATCTGAGCGGAGGTCTTGAGGTCCCAGGCCAGGGGCATTTCCACCACACACAGTATCAGACCAAGCCAGTGTCTCTGGCTGCATCTTCCCTGGGCCGCCTCCTGGGTAGCCCAAGAACAGGCCATGCAGTCTGGCTGACTTCTCTGGACGCAGTACTCAGACACGGGGAGGAGACAGACCAGACCCAGCCTGGCCGGGCCCCAATCCCGGCAGCTGTAGATGGCAAGGTGGGGGCTCCCTACTGGGTTCTTGATGTTGGTCCAGATGAACTGAGTCAGTTGCTGGGCCCCCAGGGAAGCCCCGCTCAGCAGTCGCCCAGTCCAGATGCCCGGGGCGCTTTCACGTACCCGCCGCAGCCACAGGAAGAAAGCTGGGAAGGGGCAGCAAGTGCTCGGCTCCTCTCTCGAGCCAGGCTGCCCTGAGCCCTCCTAGCCCCAGCCTCTGGCTTCTCTGTCTAAACCTCATGACCACCCTGTTCTCTATGACCCTGCCAGCCCACGGCCCTCTGGAAAGATCCCCTTGTTCCCAGGCTTACAGCTTCTTCCTTCTACTTCTCAGTCTCCAGCCCTAGCACCTCTGGGACCATTCTCGAGTATTAGGGCCCTGCCTGGGACTCGTCTCCTTCCCAAAGCCCAGGACAGAATGGTCCTGGAAGGCGGCCCCTCTGTCCACTCCCCAGATCTTCGGAATCATCTCCTCTGCTCCCCAACCCCAACCTAGGCCTCTGCCACTCTCTCACCAGCCCCAGGCCTCCATCACCGGCAGGCCCTGCTCACAGAGCAGGAGCTGCCCCCAGGAGTCCTCACCCTGCAAGAGGGAGGCCCGGTAGTCCATGTTCTTCTCGCTCCAGCCTAGGCCAATGGGGGGCATCAGGTCTCCGAGCAGCAGGCAGGCCTGGGGATTTGGGGGTGGTGTGTGTGAAGAAAGCAGGCTGCAGTGGGCCCAGGGTCCAGGAACAGAAGGAGAGGTTCCTTTGGGAGAGCCGAGCACAGGCAGGGCAGACATTTGGCAAATCCCTGACCGGGTCTGAGGCCACGACAGGCCTCGCTCAGCCTCCGACTCCTCATCCCTCCGTCCAGGTCACCCCTGCTGCCACCACCTCCTCCAGGCTCCCAAGCCCAGGCTGGGACTCACCTTCCCACCAGGAGGCCTGAAGGTCAGGACCTCCCTCCTACAGGCGGTCAGAAGGCCTTGACTCAGTACCAGGCACTCCAGCCCATCGGCGTTCATGGGGGGGCACAGTCACTCGGAGCCCCCCAAGCCTCTGCTCCCTGGGGCCTAAGGACAAACAGATCTGCTCAGAGGAGGGCTTCTCTCCTTCCTCCAACCACTGCCTGCTCCTTTGGGCTGGGGCCAAGCTTAGCTTAGCACCGATCAGCTCCTCTCTTGACCAGAACTCAGCTCCCTGAGGTTCAAGTCAGGCCTACTTCCTAGGGACATTTCCATCTCCTCAATGAGACTATGGCACCCTGAGCAGAGAGCCCTACTGTGCCCCCAGGCCCTGCCTGCCCGTGGTGTCAGCTAACAGGCCACACTGAATGCAGGGGAGACTGCCCTGGCTTGGGCCTGGGGACAAGGGGAGGGGCCACGCTGGTCTCTCTCCCCCCCACCCCCACCATCTCAGCACCTCACCTGGGCTGAGCAGCTCCAGCAGCTCAGACACAGCCCTGGCCCCTGCCTCTAGGGTAGGGGCAGTGTTCACCAGCATGCCCAGGGCCGTGCCAGCCAGAAGGCGGGCGTCCTTGTTGGCCACCTGCAGAAGGGACAAGAGTAGAAGCAGGAGAGTGTTCTCGTGAAGGCAGTCAGCAGCTCCCCCTCCCCGTCACCTGGGCCACAGGGCTGGCTCTCAGCCTCACAAAGGGTCTCATCACCTTTCCCATGATGACTTGCACCAGCGACTGAACAATGCCTGCCAGGGCCTCCGCGTTGCCCGCTGGACTCCAGAGCAGGACACCCACCTCCCCTGGCATGGTTTGGAAAAGCTGGAGGGCCAGCTGTGGGCAAAGAGCATGCCCGTCACCCGGTGTGATCATCAGCTGGCCCCCGCCACACTTCCTGTGGCCCACCGGCAGTAGAAGGCCAGCAAGCAGGAGTGGGGGGCTGCCAGAGCCCTAGGGTCTCTCCACCACAACCACTCAGGCACGGCCCACCCAGCCCAACTTTCCAGGGTGTGGCTACGGGGAGAAGATGGGGACCAAGGAAGCACACCCACCTTCACTGCGTGGCAGGCCCGCTCTGAGGGCCCCACGGCAGGCTCCTCTAACACGGAGGCCAGCGTGGAGGCAGCACTGCCCAGCAGGGGATCCAGGGCGCGTCTCCAGTGTTCTCTGGCCAGGCTGCTCTCCTCCAGGAATAGACACACTGGGCAGAAGGGCCCAGGAGGTCAGGGAGTGGGCAAATGGGGGATCCCCAGCACCCCCAAAGAGCCCCTCAAAACATGGCCGCTGGGGCTACTCCCCTAGCCTCCTTCCAGGCCTCCCAGGGCAGAGGGTCAGAAGGTAGATGGCCCTGGGTTCCTAGGACAAAGAGTTCCTGGAACTCTGCTTGCTCTCTGGTCCCCATCCCCAGTGATGCGATCCCAATCTCCAAGATGGTGTGGAGGCAGAGATCCTGGGCTGGGCCTTGGGAGGCCCCAGGGGATTATGCCCCAACCTGCCACCCCCTCTTAGACAACAGCCTCAGCTTCCTCCTCTGTGAAATAAAGGGGTAAGGCTAGAGGAGTCCGTGGGGACAAGGGTGAGAGACTGACCTGTGCGAAGATGTCCCAGAGCCAGGGCCTAGAAGGCAAAGGCAGGCATCAGCGTCCACAGCATGGTCAGACCCAAGACCCCAGGGGGCGGGAGGAAGCCCCAAGCAGCCCAGGCCGTTCCTGTCAGAGGACCAGCATCCTGAGAACTCGGGCCCTGTCACCGCCCACCCCGCCCCACTCAAGCCCCCCCTCACCTGCTGGCCTTGGGTCAAGCTGCCCAGCATCCTGGCCACTTCCTCAGACACCATGCTCTCTCTGCTTGCAGCCAACGTGGCCACAATCTGTAGGAAGGAAGGAAGGGAGAATGGGGGTGGAATTCCACCAAAAAATGGGGCCAGCCTGGGAGTTGGGGGGCCCTTGATCAAGCCTCTGGCCCAAAAGGGCTCCTCTCCAGAAGCTCCCCAGGTGCCATTAGCCTGGTACTGGAGGCTCCCCACCATCAGGCACCCATCTACCTGCCCAACCTTTCTGTACTGTAGGCTCCATCTCCCACCTCGGGGCATTTGCATGTGCTGCTCCCTCCTCCTCTCCTGTCCAGCTGCAGGTCCTATGTCACCTCCTCCCAGGATGAAAGGGCTCTCATCCCTATTCAAACTTTCCTCAGGCTCTTTCCCTTATCCCTAGCACAATCCCTCCTAGCACTGGAAGGTTCACAGAGTACCTGGCTCACCCTCTCTCATATAACTTCTCTATGACCTCTAGGAGGAAGGTCATAAAGGTGTTATCAACCCATTTTACAGGTGATGAAACTGAGGCTCAGAGAGGTTGCGGGATCACATGGTGACCTAGCTATCAAAAGACACACTCAAACCCAGAGATCTTCCACCACACCAAGAGGCAACCCCCTAAAATGTAGGCACACTGCGAGCAGACACAGTTCAGCAGCCCAGCACAGAGCCTGGCCCAGGGGACTAGGTTCAAATCCCACCTCTGCCACTTAAGTGGCCCTGAGTCCTTCTCCTCTGTAAAATGACCAGGTTAGGCTGGCTGGCCTCTGAGCTATCCTTCAGCTCTAGAACCCAGAAGCGGTCCTGTCTGGGGCCACGAGGATGAGGGGAGGAGGCCCGAGGACCTGGGATCCCACCCCTCCACCCCATTCTCACCCCCGTAGTCAGTGCCCAGCCTGGGCTACCTGGATCCACCCACCTTCTCCAGCTTGCGGAAGGCCCCCAGGCTGCCCATGGCCTCCAGCTGACAGCTGAGGAGGCAGCGAAGGAAGGGCTGGGCCTCAGCGGCACCCAGCTCAGCCCAGGCCTGGCTCAGGGCAGGCAGGAGCCTGCCAGTGTCTGCCAGGCTCTGCTCTTGGCACCGCCGGCCAGAGGCTCTGCAGAGACAGGAACAGGGACTGGTCAGCATGATGGCATTGGGCCCCCCCAACGTGTCAGTGTGTGGGCATCACTCCCCACCTGCCCCCATGGGGCTGGTCGGTGTGACGGCATCACCCACCTTCACTCACTCCACAAACCCTGGCCCAGCCTATCCATTCACCTCACTCATACAAGCGCACCTGAACCCCAAACCAAACATCTACCTGAGCCCCCACGTCCCTCCCTGCACATCGGACTGATCTGGGGATGGGGTGGGGACCTCTCCAGGGGCACCCCTTCCTAAGAGCAGAGCCTGACCCTGCTGCGGGTGAGGGGTGGGGTAGTGCCATGCTCTCTTAGTGGAGGGAGGGAGTGGTCTCTCTCACCCATGCAAGGGCTAGGCAGTCCACAGGCCTCGGGGCAGCCCAGAGGTGACTGCAGGGTGCAGGGAGCATGGGGGATGGAGAGGTGATGGAGACAAGGGGAGAGTCAGAGACTCAGGGAGACATGGGGACCCAGAGACAAGGGGAGAGGCAGAGAGTCTGGGAGGGAGAGGGAGGTACAAGACCAGAGAGACTCAGAGGCCCAGGGAGACTGAGGCAAGGACACTGTGGGCAGCAGGGACAAAGGGAAGGGTAGGCAAAGACTCTGCATACAGTAGGTGCTTAATAAATGCTTATTGCTTGACAGATGTAGACACAAGAATGCAGGAAGAGACAGGGTCAGAGACAGAGGTTCACAGAGAGACAGACACGCAGCGGCTGCGGGGCTCCCCCCTTCACTCCCACCCAAACCCCAAACCCCCATATCCCAGAGACCCCTCGCCCCTTTCCCCAAAGTTGGGGGGGGTGCCCTGGCCTCGTCTAGGGGCAGGCCCTCACCTCCCCTTGGGGCGTGGCCAAATTCTTGGCCCCGCCCCATCTAGGAGTCAGGCTCCCCCCCATGAGGGCGGGGCCTTGTTTGCTGAGGGGGCGGGGCTTGGCTGAAGGGAAGAGTGCAGGGCGCGCGGGGGAGGGGCCCGGCTCACCCGGCGAATCGTTGGAGCATGCGCAGCAGTTCTCGCAGGGCGGGCGGCGTGGCGGGGCCGCAGCTGGCGAGGCAGGCGCGGGCCTGGTGCTCTGCGCCCATGGAGGCGGCGGCGGCGGTCCCAGGCTGTCGGGAGGTCTCCGGCGGGTGCGTGATTCGCTGGGAGCGAAGCTCCGGCGTGCCCTCCCACCTCCGCTCCGGCTTCCGGGGCCACCGAGCCCAGCCTTCCCGCCGCCGGCGCCTCCGGACAGCGCCCCCTGCGGCCCGGAGGGCTCATTACCATGCGGGGGGGCGGGGGCGGGGGATGCAGAGACGCACCAGGGACTCCGGGAGCCCGAGACTCAGGGAGATAGAGAGACAGAGACCTGATCAGAGACGCAGGGACAGCCTGACCACTCATGGAGACAGAGACACAGGGACTCGGAGTCCGAGGAACGGTCTGAGAAAGAGTCATCCAGCGCCCACTGTGTGCCACGTGCTGGGGAAAGAGAGGAGGCGGCCGCGAGACCGCATGAAAGCCGCGAGGCTCAGGGGAAATCCCCATCCCTCTTAACGCCGGGTGGTCCCTCTGTTGGCTCTCTCCAGTTTGTCCTGGCTGCATCTCGTTTGTACATACTTGTTTGCCCTGAGGGAGGGGATTGTTTTCATCTTTCTTTGTATATCCTCAGCTTAGCACACTACCCGGCACACCGCAGACGCTTAATAAAGGGTGATAGTAACAGAAAGAGAGATGGAAGGGAGAGAGACAAATAGGAGGGACGGAGCCTCTGAGCAGAACAGTGTCTAAAAAGACACGTAACATGCTCACTCTGCAGATCCTCTAAGGCCAGACCAGCAGTTTTATGAGGGCCTGGCATTTAGAACTTCTTTTGTATATAATTAATTTATTTTTAGTTTTCAACATTCGTTTCCATAAGATTTTGAGTTGCAGATTTTCTCCACATCCGTCTCTCCTCCACCCAAGATTGTGTGCAATCTGATATAGGCTCTACTTATACATTCTTATTAAGCATATTTTCCCATTAGTCATGATGTAAAGAACAATTAGAACTAATGGGAGGACCACAAGAATGAAGCGATAAAACAAAACAATAAAGGAAAAGGAGAGCAAATAGTCTGCTTCCATCTGCACTCAGATTCCATGATTCTTTTTCTGGATGTGGATAGCATTTTTCACCATGAGTCTTTTGGAGTTGTCTTAGATTCTTTCACTGCTGTGAAGAGTCAAGTCTGTCAGTCAGTCATCCTGCAATGTGGCTATTACTGTGTACAACGTTCTCCTGATTCTGCTCACTTCACTGCTTCAGTTCATGTATGTCCTTCCAGGTTTTTCTGAAGTCCGCCTGCTCATCATTTCTTATAGCACATGGTATTCCATTACATTCACATACCACAACTTGCTCAGCCATTCCCCAATGGATGGGCATCCCTCCAATTTCTAATTCTTTGCCGTCACAAAAGAGCTATTACAAATATTTTTGTACATGTGGGTCCTTTTCTCATTTTTATGATCTCTTTGGGATACAGCCCTAGAAGTGCTATTGCTGGGTCAAAGGGTATGCACAATTTTGTAGCCCTTTGGGCATAGTTCCAAATTGCTCTCCAGAATGGTTGGAAGGCATTTAGAATTTAAAGGACCTTAACATGACAAAATAGGAAAATGATAAGTGTTGGAGAAGATGTGGGAAAATTGGAACACTAATGCATTGTTGGTAGAGTTGTGAAATGATTTAACCATTTTGGAGAACAATTTGGAACTATGCCCAAAGGGCTACAAAAATGTACATACCCTTTGACCCAGCAATAGCACTTCTAGGGCTGTATCCCAAAGAGATCATACAAATGGGAAAAGGACCCACATGGACAGAAATATTCATAGCAGCTCTTTTTGTGGTGGCAAAGAATTGGAAATTGAGAGGATGCCCATCCATTGGGGAATGGCTGAGCAAGTTGTGGTATATAAATGTAATGGAATACTATTGTTCTATAAGAAATGATGAACAGGTTGACTTCAGAAAAACCTGGAAAGACTTGTATGGTCTGATGCTGAGTGAAATAAGCAAAACCAAGAGAACATTGTACACAATAACAGCCACGTTGTGCAGTGACTAAGATTGTTAAACTGAACCCTTCTCAGCATCACGAGGATCTAAGACACCTCCAGAGGCCCCGTGATGGAAAATGCTATCCACATCTAAAGAAAGAACCATGAAAGTTGAATTGCTATTTTTTTTCTCTTCTGTTGAGTTTTGTTTCCTCTTTCTGATGGTTCCTCCTATTGGTTTTAATTTTTACTTAAATACCACTAATGTGAAAATATGTTTAATAGGAATATAAACGTATAGCCTATATGAGATTGTGTGCCATCTTGGGGAGGGTGGTGGGGAGGAAGGGGGAGAAAAATTTTAAACTCAAAAGCACATGGAAGTGATTATTTCCAAATCAAAATAAATTAATACAATTTTAAAAAAAAATTTTGAAGGGCCTTTAGAGACCACTCTTATTTTACTGAGCAGGAAACAGACTCAGAAAGGGAAAAGGACTTGCCCAGCTAAGTGGCACAGGTCTTTCAACTAGATTGGCAGATCCTGGAGAGCTGCTTCTGTCATATCAGTTTTTATACTTTGCTCCCACCATAGCATTTGATGTAACAACCATATATTAAGCATCTGCTCTGGAACAAACACTATACAAGGTGCTGGGGATTCAAGATAAAAAGAAACTGCCCTCAAGAAGCTTACATTCTACTGGGCTGAGGATGCAACATATACACAATGAAGGAAATCCAAATTACATACAAAGTAATAGTTGCCAATTTAACTGCTCTGCCACTTACTACATGACCTCCTGTTTCTTCCTTCTACCTGACTGCTCTTTCTTAGTCTCCTTTCCTGGATCTTCATTCAGCTCATGACCACTAGCCATGGGGGCTCTCCAAGGTTCTGTCCTACTCCCCCTTCTCCCTATAGACTCTTTGGATTGGTGATCTCCCATGGACTCAGGAGCTCTAAGCTGAAAATTTCCAGGTCAACTTATCCAGGCCTAACCTCTCCTGACATGTGGACTCACATCTCTAATTGCCTATCTTGACCTGGATGTCCTGTAGAAGTCTTAAACTCAATAGGGCCAAAACTGTACTCACTGCCTTTCTCCAAAAGTTCTCTCTTCTTCCTAATTTCTCAGTCACCCAGCCTCATAGCCTAGGGATCAGCTTTACTTCCCTCTGTCACCCCCATATTCAACCTGTTACCAAGTCCTGTTAATTCTACCTTCAAAACATTTTCTATATAGGTACACACACACACACCCACACCCACACCCACACCCACACACCCCTGTATATAGCTTTCTACATAAAAATTCACTCCAGACTATTGCAGTAGCCTTCTGGTTGAACCCCCTGCTTCTACTCTGTCCCCAGTCCAATCCATCCCCCAAATGTCAAAATAATCTTCCTAAAGCACAGATTTGATGATGTCACCCCCCCACTCAATAAATAAACTCCCGTGGCCCCCTGTGGCCTCCAGGATCAGATACAAAACGTCTCCTCCCTTTCCACCTCATTGCCCTTCAGGTCCTCTTTGATTCAATGCCCGGGGCCTCCTGGCTGTCCCCCATGCCTGGATGCTCTCCCACCTCTGCTCTTGAAGAGGTCTAGGGGTTTTGGGGTGCTGGGACCCCAAGATCGTGGTACTGGGCCCTGCCTGAAAGAATTCAACTCAAATCTTCTTCAGCCAGAGGAAAAGTTTATTAGTGGTAAAACATATAGGCCGGGTGACACCCGTAAGGACAAGGCTCAGCCTTTGGGGCACGAAAGATTCTCAGCCGGGTGATGCCCATAAAGACGAGCAGGCATGACAGATTCTCAGCCCCGAATGAGGGCCAGGGTAGATCTTATATACTTTGGGTCTGGGAAAAGGGTCTGGGTGAGAATTCCCAGAGACTGGAATGTCTCAGAGATTGAATAGACAATGGGAATAGATAATGAAGGAACTGAAAGGTATCAATGAAATTAAAAGGTAGGCTAAGGCTTTCAAAGGGAGATGAGGGGCTGGGGCCTGTAGACAAAAGGGGAGCCAGATTCCCTTTAGGGCAAGGGGCAAAGACCTCGGCTTGGGCCACACCCCATCACTCTGACCACTGACCTCCCAGGCCACCTTCTACAGGAAGCCTTCCCGGATTCCCCATAATTCTGGCGTCTTCCCCTGTTATCTCCAATAATACTTTGAATGCATCTCCTTTACACGTGGTCTTCCCATTAGACTGGGAGCTCATAGAGGGTAGGGCATGTGCTTTTGCCTTTCGTTGCATCCCCAGCGCTGAACACAGTTTCTGGCACGTAGCTGGTGCATAGTAAATGCTTGTCTGACCGGAAGGACGCCGGGCTGTGGAGGGTAAGAGGTGGTCCGGCCCGGTAGAGCCAAAGCCTCCCAGCCCGCAGCCCCGCCTACCCACGAGAATGGGAGGATTGGCCCCGCGGAGCCTCCGTAGCTCGGGGGCGCACGTGGGCGCCGGCCACGCCCCCCCGGTTCCCTAGGCAACCACACCTGCCCCGCCCGGTCTCCCGCGGTCGTTGGCGCGGAGCGATGGCGGCTCCGTGACGTCATCGCCGCGCGCCGCCAGGACACCGGCTGGGAGCGCGCCGGCCGCGGCCACTGGTGGGGGCGGGTGCCCTCGCCTCCGGTGGGTTGGAAGGGCGCGCGTGGGCTGCGCGGCGGGGCCCTGGCCGGCCACCCACGGAGGCCCGGAGCCGCACCCCCAAGGGAGGGCGTGTAGGGGACCCCTCGCTGGGCTTAGCCGTCCTCGTTCTAGTCATATGCGACCCTCACGACCACCCTGGGAGGTAGGTGCGGTTATGGCCCCCGTTTACAGATGGGGAAACTGAGACACAAACAGGCTTGTCCTGGATCCCACAGCTGTCAGGCGTCTGAGGTTGGAGTTGAACCCCGGGTCCGGTGCCCCACCCACCCTCGCGCCGCCTTCGCCACTTCCCAAATGGTTAGGTGCCGACTGTACCCGAAACACCCGGAGCGAAACCATCCCTGCCCTCTGGGAGCCGACACTGGGGTTGGGGTGGGCAGGACCACCTGGTGCACCCCCCGGCGTCCCCAAAGACTCGGTGCCCAGGAAGGGCCAGTAGGCCAAAGGGCACTGGGGACCCCCCGATGTTGTAGGAGGGGTGGGGAAGGGGATCAGGGAGGGCTTCCCATCCCGTGTATGACCCCTCAGGTGACCCCCGAGCCTGGCCCTTGAGAGATGCTGAGAAGCCCAGGTGAGACAGGGCGAAGGCTTGGGTGGGGGAGATGGTGGGGTCACACAGGAGGCAGGAGAGCCATGGGCTATGGAGCCACGTTTGGGGGGCTCCAGGCGCCAGCCAGAGGAGTCTTGGTGGGGTCCTAACGGCGATAGGGAGCCTCTGGATTGCCCTGAGTAGAGGAGGGACACGGGCAGAATTACAGCTCAGGAAAGTGGGGCTGCTTCTGGCGTCCTTCCCAGCATTTCAGGGAGAGGCTGTCGAAAGGACTCCCGCAGGAGCACGAGGTTGGGGTTCGGTATTGCCGTGCCCTGGGCTGATGGCTGTGTGTAGGTGAGCCAGTGCTTGGGGAATGATGTGCTGGACTTTTTTTCAGGGTCACCATGATGACATCCAAGCCAAAGAGAATTAAGTTTTCTGAGGAAGAGAAGATTGTGATCTTGGAAGAGTTCAGCCTGCGGAAGGACATTCTCATCCCCAAGACAGGCCGCTACCGCAACACGTCGGACCGGCAGCAAGCCTGGGAAGAGATCACGATGGCCGTGAACTCGCTGAACCCCCTTGTGCAGCGCACACCCGAAGAGGTCCGCAAGAAGTGGAAGAACATGATCCTTGACGCCCGCAAGGAGCTGGCCACCGCAAAGCACCCCCTCCTCCGGCGGCGCCCCCAGGAGCGCCTCTTCCATAACATCTTTGCCCTCTTCAATAAGACAGGCTCTGAGCTCCCCGAACCGCTGTATGCGGCCGGCCCCGGCTTTCGGACTAAAGGTCCCGCTAGCCCCTCGGGGCCTGCCTGCAAGGTGGAAGGCTTTCTGGACCCCGTTGTGCCCAACTTGGTGCTCCGGCCCCAGGGTGGTGGGATAGAGCCCGGCCAGGAGAGGGAGGGTCTCTGTCAGATTGAGATGGGCAGAAAACTAGACTCTTGGCCCGAAGTCACAGGGAAGAGCCTCCTCCCACCCCCTGTGGAGGTTCAGGCCCGATTCAAGGAGGACAGTCTAACCGAGGATGCCTCCGACTATGGCGAGAAGAGGCTGTTAGACCCGCTGAAAGACTTGCCTCTGCACTGTGAGCCCGTGCCCCAGGTGCATCCCGTCGCGGCCAGCAGGGCAGTGTCACCGGAGGGCCCATCCGGGGACGTGCCCCCTCTCTGTGTGATGCCAGTGCCAGCAAGCCCATCTCCAGACCCGGCTCTGACTTATAAGATTAAATGTCCCGTGAGTCCTTTGCTAGACTGGCCCTGTTTGGGAGTGAGCTCGAGCCCCGTCACGCCCAGCGGCCGCATGGACGCTCTGAGCACGGAAGGGATCCACACGGCCATAAACGACAATGGTGAGCACCTCGAGCTCTCTTTGGCCTTGTTGAAGGCTAGCAGAGTGAGTTAGCAACGTGACCCGGTTATTGCTATGGTTAACATCGAGGCTGTGCCCCACAATGAGGCCTCAGTCTGAGGGATCTTCAGGGTTATCCCTTTAGCTTACAAAGGAGGAAACTGAGGCTGTCGGCGGCCCAAGGTCACGCTACAAAGTGTCAGAGCCTGGACTGGAGCCCAGGGGTTCGCATTCTGTGATCCCTGCCGTTTCTCCTTCTCTTTGAACCATTTTGTTAGAAGAGAAACGTAGAGTTAAACACGAAACAATAATGACACGGATTTGTTCACAAATTTACAAGTTAGCCATCAGGAGATGATTTTTCTTTTTTTTAACAACAGCAGTTTGAAAAATGGGCTGTCAGGGTGTGTAGAGATTAGGATTTGCATTGATGGAAACAGCATAGACTGATGACATTTTTTGAAGGAGCTTTTTAAAAATTTCTCTCATTTCAAATAAGAAGATTTTTTGTTCATGCCCTTTTTGTCCCTCATTACTCAATAGAGAGAATCAGTTTTCATCATGTTTGATACTGGCCATATTTGGGGGGAAGATGTGACATTTGGATCGATTCCTAAGTAGTGTGAGCTCCACCCTCATCGGTTTTGCCAGTCAACCTGTCTGTGATCCTGGCGTCCTCTGGGGAAAAATCCTGGCCCTGACACTTTGTAGCTCTGGGACCCAGCCAGAGCACACCAAATGACACACCTCTGATACTACAGGTGAATTTTGCACCAGTTGAGTGATCAGATCCAAAGGCCTTTATGGGAGTGGGTGTCCCAGAGATCTGACTGGCACAACATTTATCAGTGACTTGGATGGAGGTGGGCCAGGCATGCTTACTTAGCCCATCTTCACACGTCAAAGCCAGGAGGGAGAGAGATTATCCTGGGTGATGATCAGGATCAAAAAGGACTTCCATGGGTGAAGGAATGGGGAAAAGGGAAGGGAATAAGCATTTATATAGTACCCACTGTGTAGGAGGCACTGTGCTAGGCACTTTGCAAATCTTATCTCAAGCCTCATTCTGCTTGGCCCCCCAGGGCAGAACATGGAGGGGGCCACAGATGTTGGTTCATTCTGAGGCAAAGCTTCCTAACAGTCAGACTGTCCCAGAAGGGAAGGGGCTGCCCAGGGCACAGGGCGGGGGCTGTCCCTTACTAGAGGCCTTGGGTTAGACTGGAGAACCTCTGGTCAGGGTATATTCTTTCCACTGGTCACTTTCAATTGTGTCCGACTCTTCATGACCCCATTTGGGGTTTTCTTGGCACAGATCACAAACAGGCTGAGGTGACCAGCTCAGAGTCAGTCAGTTAGTGTCTGAGGCTGGGTTTGCACTCAGGAAGACTCACCTTCCTGACTCCATGCTGGGTGCTGGGTGCCCTGTGATGCCACGTAGCCACCCCTACATCTTCTCTCCTGCCCACCAGCTTTGTGACCTGTAGGTTCCCAAAGTGGGTGATACCACCGCCTGGGGTGTTGGAACAAATGGGGGGCACGGTAGTAGCCTCAGCTGTGACTGTGGGGCGGTGGAAGCATAAGGAAGGAAGAGAAGAGAAGAGAATTCTGAAAAACCATTCGCACGTGTTTCATCTGTCGTGGAACAGAGTCAAAGTCGCAGTGATTACATTATTTTCCAAATAAACACACAAAAAAGAAAGTTGACCAATCAGTGGTCAAGTGCACCAGCAGGTCTTAACAAGCAGGTGTTGGCAGGTGAGCCCGCCACGCGTGGTTGGGAAGTCCAGCATGCATTGGCAGGAAGGTGTGCATGTAATGACTTGTTTACAATATGATACTATATGGTAACATGATGTCATATCGCATCATCAAAACTTCAATGCAGAAAAAAAGACAAATTTACCATAAATTATTAAATTTAAGATGCATCATTTTAAAAAATATATATTTTATATTTTTTCAAAATGATACAAATTTCAAAAAACCATTAAAGGAAGTAGATTTCCAAGGTGGTGCTGAGTAATTTTTTTTTTTTAAGGGGACGTTGGCTAGATGTTTTGGAACTTCTGCTCTATACAAATACGAGTAGCTGTTTCCTGTGCCCTAACCTATTCAGTGTCCATTCTCTGCTGGGGCCGTCCACAGCAGCTGCTGTGAGGCCAGTATTACAGAATCAGGGAATGTCCAATGAGGCAGGGACCTTAGAAATCCCTCACCTAGTCGGGGGGTGTTCCATTGTGGCCCAGCTGGGATTGTGAGGGGTCACGTCCTGACACCCAGCCTAATTGGCCTCTTTCCAGGACACTCCCCAGGCCCTCCAGCATCCTGGCTGACCCCTCGGCACTCTTCAGCTTATCTCGCCCTTTTTAAGCCAGGGTGCTGAGAACAGAACACAGCCCTCTGTTGAAAGCTGACTATCCCAGCAGGGACAATCACTCCCCTGTTCCTGGCAGCCAACCTCTCTTCATGCAGCCCAAGACTGAATTAGCTTTTTTGGCCATCACATCACATGACTGACTCCGATGGAATTTGCAGTCCACTAAAGCCCCAGATCAAAAGATCGGTCAATCAGCAAACATTTACTAAGTGCCTGCTATGTGCCAGGCACTGTACTAATCCCTAGGGATACAAAAAGAGATAAAATACATCCCTGCCCTCAGGGACCTTCTGATCTAATGGGGAGACAGCATGCAAACAGATATGTACAAGGCCAGCTCTAGACAGAATAAATAGGAAATAAAGAACAGAGGGTAGGCACCAGAATGAAGGGGGAAGCTGGTTGGGGAAAGCATCCTTCTTGCAGAAGGTGGGGTTTCAGTTGAGACATAAAGGTCAGTGTTCCCGGCATAGGGGATGGCCAGAAAAAATGCTCAGATCCAAGAGAGGGAGGGTCTTCTCTATGGAACAGCCAGGAGGCCAGGGTCACTGGCCCAAGAGTAAGGTGTAAGGAGACTGGAAAAATGGGAGGGGCTAGTTTATAAAGGGCTTTGAATGCCAACCAGAGCATTTTGTATTTGCTCCTGGAGGCGATAGGGACCCACTAGAGAGTGGGCGAGTGGGGAGTGGGGATCTGCCCTTTAGGAAAATCATTTTGGCAGCTGATGCATGATCTGGAATGGGAGGAGACCGGAGGCAGGCAGACCCCCCAGCAGCCATTGCAATAGTCCAGGTATGAGGTGATAAGGGCCTGCACCAGGGTTGGGGCAGGGGCAGAGGAGAGAAGGGGGCGTAGTACCAAGGTTAAATTGACAGGCCTCGGCATCAGCTTGGATGTGTGTGTGAAGGGGTGTCAGAGCTATTAATGAGTCCAGGATGAGTCCTAGGGTGTAAGTCTGGGACTAAGAGGATGGAGGCGCCCTCAGCAGGAATAGGGAAGGTAGGAGGAGGGGAAAGATGATGAGTTCCATCTTGGACATGTTGAGTTTAAGATGTCTAGTTCAGTTGTGTTTGACTCTGTGACCCCTGGACCATAATGTGCCAGGCCCTTCTGTCCTCCACTATCTCCCCAAGTTTGTCCAAACTCATGTTCCTTGTTTCCATGACATTCTCTATCCATCTCATCCTCTGCCGTCCCCTTCTCCTTTTACCTTCAGTCTTTCCCAACATCAGGATCTTTTCCAGTGAGTCCCTTCTTCTTATTAAGTGGCCAAAGTATTTAAGCTTCAGCCTCAGTATTTGACCTTCCAGTGCATAGCCTGAATTAATTTCTTTAAATAGTGACTGATTTGATCTCCTTTCTGTCCAAAGGACTCTCAGAGGTCTTCTTCAGCACCACAGTTCAAGAGCATTGATTCTGTGCTGCTCAGCTTTCCTCAAGTACAATTCTCACAGCCATCCATTGCTACTGGAAAAACCATAGCTTTGACTATGTGGACCGTTCTGGGCAAGGTGATTGTGCTTTTTAGTCTGCTGTCCAGATCGCCGTGGCTTTCCTTCCAAGGAGCAGGCATCTTTTCATTTCCTGGCTGTGGTCACCATCAGCAGGGATCTTTGAGTCCAAGAATGCAAAATCTGACTCTGCTTCCATTTCCTCTCACTCTGTTTGCCAGGAAGTGACAGGACCCATTGCCACGATGTTAGTTTTTTTCATGTTTGACACTCTCCTCTTTCACCCTTATCAAGAGGCTTCTCAAGAGTGGTATCATCTGTACACATCTGAGATTGTTGATATTTCTCCTGGCAGCCTGAATTTCAGCTTTTGATTTGTCCAGCCTGGCATTTCACATGATGTGCTCTGCAAAGAAGTTAAATTAATAAGGCAACAATGTACAGCCATGTCATACTCCTTTCCCATCTTAAACCTGCTACAGCTGTTCCATGTTTGGTCCCAGCTGTTGCTTCTTGGCCCCCATACAGGTTCCTCAGGAGACAAGTCAGATGATCTGGGTCCCCCCCCCCTCCCGGTCTCTGTGAGGACTTGCCACATTTTCTTATGATTCAGACAGTCAAAGGCTTAGTGTAGTCAGTGAAGCAGAGGTGGATGTTCTTCTGGAGCTCCCCTGCTTCCTCCGTAATCCAGGGAATGCTGGCAATTTGGTCTCTGGTTCCTCTGCCTCTTTGAAAACCAGCCTGCTCTTCTGGTGATTCTCAGCTCACCTATTGCTGGAGCCCAGCGTGCAGAATCTTAAGCATAACCTTGCGGGCATGTGAAATGAGGGCAGCTGTTCAGTGATTTGAACATTCCTTGACGTCGCCCTTCTTTAGGATGGAGACGTAAACTGATTTTTTCCAATCCAGTAGCCACCTGTTGAGTTTTCCAAATCTGCTGGCATATCGAGTGAGGTACTTTAACTGCATCATCTTTTAGGGTTTTCAATAGCTCGGCTGGAATTCCATCACCTCCACTACCCTATTGTTGGCAATGCTTCCTAAGGCCCACTTGACTTCATTCTCTTGGACGTCTGACTCCTTCTAGACCAGTAACCACACCTTTGTGGTTATCTGATGGGATCTGATAGCCACAGATCTGATGGGAAATGGTGTTCGGATCTTTTTTTGTGA